CTTCTGCTCTGTAGGTAAAAGTCTAATAAATTACCTACACTAACAGTCCTGCTTTTCACACCACAACAAAAAAGGATACAAACCTAATCAAATTAAGATGTGTGCAATTTTCTCATGAACCCAATAAAATGATCCTTATAAAGTAAAACTATCAACTTTTCATGGACAAAGATAAATTTATTCTCCAAGCCATGAGAGCATGTAAGGATCAAGACTTAACTCTGAATCGTTACACATACTGACTACGTGTTCTATGTCTTCACAGGGAACATACTTTCAATAGCCCCATATCAAGATTAGACATTATGCTGCAAATAAATATATGCAACTATATTATAACTATTAATTGTCCTAAACAAACAGCCAGACACCTGCATGTTTTCAGCTTTCTCTCTTAAATGAAAAATAAGTAAATAAATTAACAGGGACTTATTTGATTCCTGGCCAATTCACACTGCAGTCTACTCCTATACTAGATGATGACTGTCTTAGGTACTTTTTCTTGCTGCTGAGACAAAATACATGACAACCTAAGTTAAAGGAGGAAAAGTTTATTTAGTTCACAATCTGTAGAGGTTTCAGTCCATAATCAGCTGCCACCAAGGCAGGGTGGCATGGCAGACAGGCATCATAGAGGAGAAACAGTTCATGGCAGGCACAAGGTAGCAAAGCAAGCAAGCCTCTTTTTGTCCCTTACATTGTATCCAGGCTACCAGGATTAGGGAAGTGCCAAACCAATCAGTGGATTGACTTAGTTATCACTCATCCTTAATCTTAGTATTGTACCATGAATCAATCACACATTCTAGATTCAGCTACCTCTGAAAAAGCCCCACTTATGACTACATGAGGCTTTGGAAGATCATCTAGACACAAGCCATAGCATTATAACTAAAAATAATCTTGTGCAACCTTCCTTCTACTGTCATCTGGCTTTTATTAAACATATGTAAAATATTCACACCAGTTTTTTAAAAAAGAAGACACTGTTAAATATTGCATATTCCTTTCACTTGTCAACTTTTTCTTTTCAGAATTCTTAAACTGAAAAATGTAGGAATTATGCCAGAAATATCCATCACACAAAGGCAGCTTTCCTGCACTTTCAGATGGAATTGGGGGAAGGACGTCCTGGTGCCTCTATCATGAGTGTCACTCTCCTCTGCATGCTGCCCTAGTACCCTTCTTCCTTCACTGCATATGCTTCTCACTCAACACTGACAACCACCTGGATAAGGTTCGCCAAACTGTACCCTGATACACTGAATTAGACATACAATGATACAATCAGCAAACTTTAGGAAAGACTTATAGGCAAGATATTACTGGGGTAATTAGAAAGGCTCATGGCACAGTGGTGCTACCTAAAAGTTTACAATGTTGTTTAACACTGTTATAAGAAACCCAATTAAAATCCCTCACCAAAATATACAATTGTTGTGAGACACGAGGAATTATGTGCTATGCACTGTTGTACTTCCTATGGACTTGGCCTTATATGCTACTATCTCCTCCCTACCAAGAACACAGTATCATATGTGAGCTTATTTAGCCAAACCCACATAGAAAATGGCCTTCCTTGTCTATGGCTCTACCACCCTGAACGTGCCCTTTCTCGTCTGATCTCGGAAGCTAAGCAGGGTTGGGCCTGGTTAGTAATTGGATGGGAGAAAATGGCCTTCCTAGTTCATTAAAATGAAAAGATTTTAATCCTAAAATTCATTTGGAATCAGAAGAGACCTAGAAAAGCAAAGGCAATTCTGGGCAATAAAGGCAAGGCAGGGGCTATCAAAATCCCTGACTTTAAATTATACTACAAAGATACTGTGATAAAACAGCATGGTACTGGCAAAAAAACAGACCCAAGGATTAATGGAACAGACTAGAGGATGCAGAAACAACTCCAGACATACTCAGCCACCTTATCTTTGACAAAGGAGCCAAACATTTTCACCAGAAGATAGCCTCTTTAATAAATGGTGCTGGAAAAACTGGCTTTCCACATGAAGACTGAAACTAGACCCGTATCTTTCACCACGCACTAACCTAAAATCGAAATGGATCAAAGATCTAAATATTAAAACAGAAACACTAAATCTGCTGGAAGAGAGAATAGGTAGAACGCTTGAAGATATAGGAGTAGGCAAAGACTTCATGAACAAAACCCAGACCACATGGGAAATATGACAAAGAATCAACAACTGGGACCTCATCTTATTAAAAAGCTTTTGCATAGTAAGAGAAACCACCAACAGACTGAAGAAACAATCCAGTGTGGGAAAATTTTTTTTACCAGCTATTCAGATAAAGGACTATTATATAGAATATATAAAGAACTAAAAAAAAAAAAAAAAAACACCTCAAAAAATCAGACCCTCCCCAAATCCCCAAATCTAAAGACCCAATCCAAAAATGGGCACCTGAAATGAAAAGACACTTCTGAGATGTAGAATTAGAAACAGCAAATAAATATATGAAAAAATGTTCAGCATCACTGGTCATTCATGAAATGCAAATTAAAACAACACTGAGATCCTACCTCATTCACAAAGAATAGCAGCTAGCAAGAAATCTACCAATAACAAATCCTGGAAAGGCTGATGGGAAAAAGGAACCCTTCTTCACTGTTGGTGGGAGTGCAGACTGGTGCAACCACTGTGGAAATCAGTGTGGAGATTTCACAAAAATCTAAAACTAGAGGTTCCATTTGACCCAGCTATCTCTCTTCTTGATATCTTCCTGAATTAAAAGCATCATATCATATCAATATATGTGTACCCATGTTTATAGCTAAATCTTGGAAACAGCCCAAATGTCAACTGATGAGTGGATAAAGAAGATACGGGTTTTTTATACAATGGAGTACTACTGAAGGATGGGCTTCAGACATTTATAGCTAAATGGGCAGACCTTGAGACGGTACTCCTAAGTGAAATAAATCTGACACACATTTAAATACCACATTGTTTCTCTGGTGTGGAAAACCTAAAGTGGAAATAAGGACTAAAACGTATAATAGATATTGGGAAATGGGAACAAAACGTTCAAATGGGAAGGGGAACAAGGGAGGAGGGAGAAAGGAGGGAAGGAATAAGAAAAAAAGTGAAAATAAAAAAAATAAATGGAAACAAAGCTTTTGTACATAGGAAGGGGAGGGAGATTGAGGGGAGTAATGGGATAAAATAAAATTTATTTAAAAAATAAAGTGAAAAGGTTTTAAGTTTAATAACAATTTGCAGTGTAGCTGCACTAACTTTGAGGGTGTTATTTACATGGTTCCTGGACGGGCAATTTGAGCTGGTAAAAGCTAAGGCAAACTTCTAAACACAGATTGCTACTTTTGGAGAGGAACAATACGTGAGGCCAGCAAGACTGTCATAAACTTAGTTTATTTATCAGTTTGTAGCTTTTGTCATAGTACCTGAGGCCCTACTAGAAGTATTATCTGATAGGCAACTAATCAAAACTGTCCTAACCCTGTGACTGAAGAGCTGAGTGACTTACTAATCCTCATTTTCTCACATTTGATAAGTGAGCTGGTGAGTAACACAGATCTTCCAACTTTAAAATGTGATAGTATGGGTTTTTTGTGCTTATTCATTTAGAAGGACTGGTACTAATATGGGAAACCAATGATTTGAGTTTAGTTAACACAGTATTGTTATATGTTCAGTAGTATTCTCAATATTTACCTGAAAAGAGCTGTTTAATAATAGTTTTTTCCTTTAAATACATGACTATATTTTTTTGGGTACTTTTCAAGCACAATTTTTATAGCGTATTTTTAGGGGCAGAACATAAGTCGACTTAAATTTTTTCACATGAAATAAATCCATATTCGCTCATTTTTTACCCCCTAATACTCAGCATTATGCCAATTCCTTGGCAGAAAAGTGAAACAAAACTTGAGGAAGTTACAAATCATTGTACAGAAATAAAAGAGTAAGAGAGTTATTCACCTTGGGGGGAAAAAACCCTAATATTACAATTCTGACAGGATTAGCTATCTAATTTAGACTATATTTGCTTAATCTTTTTCTTGCATAGTAGTTTTTGAGAATAAGACTGAGTTTTGGAAACTACTCTTTTTATTTTTGGAAATTACTCTTAAAATAACTTTCTTAGGATCTGCCCCGCAAAGCAAATAGTTAACAGCTGTACTGACCTCCTAGCTACCAAAAGTAGTTACTAGTGTGAAATAATAACACCTTTATAAGGGAAATGGGAGGGGACTGAAGCTTGGAAGGCAAGGTGACAGATGAAAGATGAAAGGAATGGGAAAACAAGAGAAAATTATGTAGAAGAATAATGAGGAAAATTTTACAGCAAGCAGATCAAAATTGTTCCCTGAACACATGGCCCCTCTATTAAGTTATTAAAGTACTTCTGGGCTTTTGTGTGAGCTAGCATACTTCAGGGGAGATTGTAATTTTACACAGACCCTCTCCAAGTGATTGGGCATGTCTTGCTCCTTCCTATCCCTCCTTAGTTTGCTGCTATCTCAAGGACCTTCTATGTATATTTTTGTCTTTCTTTTTCCACCTTTTTTTGACTGCTCTCTTTAATGTTCATGTGTAAGTACCCATTATTATTAATTGTCACTAAAGAAATATCCTCCACAATTTAAATTACTGAATCCTTTAAAAAAAATCTCAACAATGAACTAAATACTTTGTTATTTCAGGTGGAGTCTTGCTATATTATGCCAGTTGGCCTCAAACACTTGGGTTCAAATGATCCTCAGCCTCCTTGGCACCGGGACTACAGCCATCCACCATTGTTATCAGCTTGGATACTTTTTATTTTAAGCTTTCTTTCTCTCTTTAGTTAGCTTACAACAAATAAAACCACCTTTCCTAAAACTGTCTCCTCTTCCCCACCCCACCCCTTTTTCTTCCCTTTAAGAACACTGGAATTTTCTGCTCCTTTTCCAGTTTGATAGTTTCCAATTTTGCAAGTTTCTACATACTCAAATATAGTCTGGAAATTGTAACACTTACCACATTAACAGGGGGTCTTTTAAAGTAAAATGGCAGTTTCTCTGTTACAGTAATGCAGACTAAATCCACATCTAAATGTGTGCAAGCAACCTGTCAAGAAGGGAAAAAAAAATAGTTAAGGCCAAATGGAAAAATGGCACCAGTAAGAATCAGTCAAGCCTGATAGAAGCATAGATAGGTAGGTTTATTCCACAGGTGCTAAGATGGTTCTGTACTGAAACACATCTGACTTGTTACAAAGCCAATTATTTAGCCACTCCTTCAGGTTTGGTTTAAATGGTTTAACTGTGTTCCACCTGAAGCAGAAAGGTACTATACACAGAACTTCTCAAAGCTCAGGGCCTAGAGACTCTCTAATTCATATGGTCTTCTACATAAAGATGGTTTGCTGAGTGAGGTTCAATATGTAGAAGTTACTTCAGATTATTTTAGAAAGAAGATACTGGAGGTTGTGAAATCCAAGGAAGCAATAAGCCAACAGGAATGTGCTCATGATCCATTTGTTCCACACTGTGTGAAGCACTTTTGTGCTAGGAATTGTCCCAGACCTGTGGTTCCAATCAGTCTACTGAATGGCTAAAGAAACATTATCATGGCATTACTGATACCATTTTGTGCAAATACTAATGGAAACAGTCTTTATAAATGACTAGAGTAAAACTGTCAGAAATCAAATTAAAATAAATTTTTTTCCAACTTTAATTTCTTTTTTCTTTATTCTAATTTTTGTTGTTACTTGTTGATCAACATTGCACTTACTTATAAAAGAGACTGGAAACTACTTTAAAAAAACACATGCAAAATAAAGCACAAGGAAAAAAAAAACAAAGAAAAAAAATAAAAAAAATAAAGCACAAGGAAATCATGATAAATGGAAAATTGGGGAAGGAAAATAAAGCAGGGAAAGGTTTTTATTGTGTAGTATAAACCAGAAGATGCTCCCACAAGATACCCAGCGGACTCTGATTTTGCCATTATTTGATTTTTAAATTTGATTTATAGAGGTAAAAAGTCAACTGTCTCATATTGTTTTAAAAACAAGTCTACTGACAGTGGTGTGTACAGGACTGATGAACAAATTTAAACTGCCCAGGTAGCTATGCTAGCAAACCAGTAGCATGAACCATGGGAAAGGGTGGAGTAAGGAAGAAGAGTGAAGAGGGGGTTGTAATGCTCTGAGGATTGGCACTGATTAAAGTTGACAGTTATCACATCTCACCTCGTTTCTTCAAAATCCCTGCTGTAGTCTCTCCTACTCCCACCCCAGGGCTTTAGGAAGCAAGTAGTGATCAGAGGCTGCCTGGCTTTAAGACATTCATAGCAACTTAGTAAGCCTGGGAAGCAATGTTGATCTGGCAGAAACACTTGGCTCATAAAGAATCTGCCCCATCCCAACTGCTCTAGCTGTCCAACTCACAAAAGAGTCATTGAAAATTTAATAAGAATAGATGAAGAAATGCTCTGAATAGTAACTGAAATGAGTTCAGCTTCTTTGTCATTTTTTAAAACTATTAGGCTGGCAAAGATCAAAATGTTCACATTACAATGCTAATATAAGAATAAACAGGCACTCACAGTTTTAAATCAGTAAAGGGTTTCAAAAAGTACTTGAGCAATAGCTATTAAAATGTTAAAAGCTGCTGGGGATTTAGCTCAGTGGTTTCGCCACTTGCTGTGCAAGCTTGAGGACCCAAGTTCGATCCCTGGTACCAAAAAAAAAAAAAAAAAGGCTAAAATGTTAAAAGCACACACTAGCAACTACCTTTATAAGAATGTATTCTATGGACACTCTAGAAATATACTTAATAATATACACTATAGCTGTAGGTTAAGGACAATAATATGATGAGGATAGTCACTGTAACACCAATCACAATAGAGAGTAGACAGAATTAAATATTCTTCAATTTTATAAAAATATGACCCCTTTGTATTATGCAATATGTCAACTCAAAGGGAATGAGGTACATCTCTCATTCATATTATGGAATACCCTCTCCAAGATATACTGGAAGGTGAAGAAAAGCATGGTGTTAGATAGGAAGAAAGGAGGGGGGATGAAGGAAAGACTAGGTGAATAGTATTTCTGAAAAGATACACAAGAGTGTTGTAGTAGTGGCTGACTCTGGAGAAAACGGAGAAGGGATTTTAGGTGGAAGGAAGGCATACTTTTATCCATACCCCTCCATACTGTTTGAATTTATTAGTATGAACACATTTTAATTAAAAAAGCTGATTAGTTTTATAAAATCCTCTTAAACATTCTCCCCCAAATAAAGCCAAATTAGATTACTTTTTACTTGTATATTACTCCTTTTTCTCACCTAAAAGGTGGACAATTACACAATGGGTCTGTGTTGATTTTAGTGTATTATAAAAAAAAAACCTTTCAGTTAACAGGATAACTTAATTTGGCTTCCTCTGATACTTCACATTTAAAATGTTACAAACTGAATTTTTCTGTTATTTAGCTTTCTATTAACCTAAATGTTCAACTGGTACATTTAAAGAATCACAAAATAAGTTAATATTCACACTTAAATGAATTACTAAGTCATTGAAAAGATAAAATTATGTTCAAATAGAGTTTTGGGTTAAGAATCTCTAACATTTTTTTTCTGAAAATCAGGACACTACATACGAATTCACATTAGTTGTCTTTAACCATGTTTTTCTTTTCTTGGTCAGAGATCCCCATGATGATTTAAGTCAGGCCTACCAAGGGAAAAGAAAGATACCCATAACAGTGGTTCTCAATCTTAAGTATGTATAAACTCCCCTAAAGAATTTTATTAAGTAGGGAGATTACCAGGATCCACCTCCAGTGATTCATTTAGTAACAGGCCTAACAATCTGCATTTTAACAAATATCTTAGGTAATTCTGAAGCTGGAAGACTTATATCATATCCTCAGAAACACTGCCTTGAAAACAACTCTCTTCATCAAGGTTTTTTATGACAATGCTGTGCAAAGACAAGCATGGATTTCAGAAGCAGGAAAAAAACAGAGCTTCTATTTCCATTTATTTAATTTACATATTTTCTTAAAATTTCCATTTTCTTTTGTGTGCTTACATTCTTTTACAAAACACAGTGGTATTATGGAAAATGTGAATAATTTGTAAGAAACACACACATATTGGGGAGCATGCTCAGTATTTTTTAAAACTGATAGGGTGCACAGTCAAAAGTAGTTTGGAGACCACTGAACTAAATAATCTGAATTCTCCTCCACTTTTCTTTTTTTATTTTTTTTGGTACCAGGGATCGAACTTGGGTCCTTGCACTTGTGCAGCAGGCGGTGAAACCAATGAGCTAAATCCCCGGCCCATCCTCCATTTTTCTTAGTTGCTTTAAATCTTAAATGGGAATAATTGACTCGGAAGCTCCTGAAGCTACTATGCAACTCTCCCTCTCTGTAATATTCCACTGTTGGCCCTATTCCAAGAAGCCCTTTGCTTATCTCTTTGCTTATAATCTGCAATCTTTGTCTGATCCTCTAGGGTAGCTGTGGGAAGGGAGGGTTTTTTTATTTATAAGATATCTTTTATTTATAAGATATATTCTGAATGGAAAACAGGATGCTATTTTCCATGGAAACAATGCTATTTAAAGTGGTTAGATTTTATATTTCAAACTGTTAACATATATAATGTATGTGTATGCTTTTATGATTCATCTTAGAGACCTAACTTAATTTTAGAATATCATTCCTATAGGAATACCTGTAAGAGTGCTGGACAATCAATTTATTGGTTTATAAAACAAATAAAATCACTCATGTCATGCAACCTAAGCAACAAACTAGTTGGATTTGACCCGATTTCAAAATATGACATACTTACCAAAGCTTTATGATAAAAAAGATGTCATTTTAATTGACTTTTTATAGGAAACAAGGAAAGCTCTAACTTCATCTAATTCCTAAGGAATGAGTAAGATATGAGCAGAGAGAGGAAGATGTTCCAATTTTATAAACTTGTTCTCACACAACGTTTTGCGTATCAGTCAGTTTCAAACACTTAGTGAATTATTTATAGTTTTTTCTCCATCTTCCAAAATATTTCCTACTGCTCCACCTACCATCAAGCATGTGTTCAGCAATTCAAACTTGAATAATCTGAGAGAAATGAGTAATAAGATAAAACTGCTATATGAAATTATATATATATATTTTTTGGGGGTACTGGAGATTGAACTCACAACCTTGTGCTTAAATGAGGCAGGCGTGATGCAACTGAGCTAAATTCCCAGCCTGAAATCATATTCTTTAAAATCCTAAAGTCCTACCTCTACTACGTACTTGCTGTTCCATTTATTTTAAGTCTCAGTTTTCTCCTGTATAAAACAGTGATAGTAATAAATACTATCTTATCTGATAGAATCACTGTAAAAGATTAAAGGAAACAAATACATAAAAGTCTTTGGAAAGTTATGTATACTTTTCAGCCAAAATGTAGTAAATGTTTTGTTTCCCTAATTATCAGTAAAGGGCTATGAAAATTAAGTTACATGATCTTCAAATTAATTCAGAAATAAACTATACAACAAACCTGGTACATCTTCAGTTTTTGTCTACATCATGACTGAGTTATTTAGTAACAAAATTAAATTGCAAATTTGGAAATGTCCACGGTCCTTCTTATACTGAATACCAGTGGTTTCAGCACTGAATAAGACTTTTTTGCAGAATTTAAAACACAGGATTCCCTGACTCAACTCCAAAACCTATGGATCAGAATCTCTAGTGGTGAGCGCTTGAATGTGCCCAATTTTTTTTCTTTCTTCTAAATGTGCTCAATTTGAAAAAATTCTACAGGTGTCTTCGATGACTAAGAACTACTGGTTTCTACTCAACTCTTTCACTGAAACAAAATCCTTGAGAATTACTATCATTTTGCATTTTTATAAAGGAAGCTACTAAAAAATGGCAGACATTCATAGATAATTTGTGGTGTTTCTTTCCATTAATATAAATTAAGAATTGATTGTGTTCCTTGAAAACTAAATACCACACCCCAGGCTCCTTAGTCACTAGCTCCATCTACTGGATAAACTTAGGAAAACTATAATTTTAGACCAGATTTTGCTTAAAAAAGAACTAGTGCAAAATTAAAACATCTAAAACCAACACGTTTTTTATGCAATACCCTTTTGGCAGCTGGAACTTTTTTTGAGACTAGATAAAGACAATTTTTAGAACTTCCTAAAGTAGCTATACCTAACTTTACACAGTCAAACATATTCCTTAAACTAGTACATTATAGTTAATTTTTTTTCTTTACTGTAATCATTTAAAATGCTCAGGGTGCTCTGTCTCAAGTTGACAAAATGAGCACACATGCTAAGCCACTTTTTCTCTGGTGAACGTACTGAAATGGCAATTTTAAATGTACAAAAGGAATTAAATTCATAAAGACTCTCAAAATAGGAAAGGAATTTCTGGAAAACTAAAGACTGACATAATCATGATGGCAAATAGGCATGTAACAGAGCATGTAAAAGAGGAAGCTGAACAGAGGAGGCAGGTTTTATGCTAAACTAGAATTTTACCCTATTCTTCACAAGGCAGCATCACTTATGAAAGACTTCGCAAATATGAATCATGAAGGGATTTTAGAGCTAGAAAGAAATGGATCAACATTTATCAAAGAGAAGTTTTGAATGAATAAGCAGAGATAAAGAAACAGGAGACTAACTGATGACCTTTTCAAACTGATGGATGATGACTATCAAACACCTATTAGGATGAATAAAACAAAACAACCAGCCAAACAAAAAACTCACATGCCACTTAATATTTCCCTGTGAAATTCTAGAACTCCAAGTGTACATGAAAGATCCTAAGTTTGCAAGTAGGACAAAGAAGGTCACCTACAAAGAAGTAATATCAGACTTCTTATATAGAATAATAAAATACTATTCGTTTTTACTTATGTTACTTACATGAAAAAGTTTTTCTGTCTTTGGAAAAACTGCAATGATATCATATAGCCGGACCCTTGAAGAAGTTGCCCTCTAGAAATACAAAAAGACCAGTAACACAAAATATATGCATGAATTCCTGCCTAGTGGCCTAACTACACTTACATTTTTTAAATTTATTTATTTTATTTATTTATTTTATTTATCTATCTATCTATCTATCTATCTATCTATTTATTTATTTATTTGGTACCGGGGATCAAACTCGGGACCTTGCACTTGCGAGACAGGTGCCGAACCACTGAGCTAAATCCCGGGTCCTACACTTACATTTTAATAAAGTAACACTTCTGATACACTGTTGACTTTTTGTTTTGCTTATATAAAAGCACATGAGAATTTAGATACCAATATACAATCCACAAATCATCCTAACTTTCCTTTTATATTTGTTATCCAAAACATTGTATATGAGATATAAAAATCAGCCCTTGATCTTACACACTGATGGAAGAGTTTCCCGGACATTTACTGAGTATCTGTTCTGTGCTAGGCACTAAGGATACAAAATTATTAATACAAAATCACTAATATGAAATTATTCTCAATGAAATTCACCCCCTTTTTTGCAAACAAAAAATATGTAAGACCAAAGGTTATGTCTTCTATGTAATGTACATGACTAAGTGTGATGTAATTAAGTTCACAAAGAGAACACTGTCTACAAATCAAAGTGATAGATGAGCAAGAAAATACTTGACAGTCCTAGGACAAAAAACAGCACATTGGTAAAGCCAGAGTGTTATTGTTTAAAAAGGAAAATCTCAAACCTATATTGTATGCATTTGTACATGAAAAGAGTAGAAAATATATATTCAAATATATATCTCTGAATGCTAGGATAATGTGCGCTAGAACCAGAATGTTGTCTTGTAGCTGAATAAAATACCAAATTTTGACTGTTCACAGATTCTTCAGCAATTACTAATTGTTACAAAGTGGGTCAGGCTTTACTTGATCACCTCTATGATGAAGGTGTCCATTCTAGCTAACGATGAAATAGCTCACCTCAGGGATTTCAATGATCCTTCCTATCAACTTGACTTCTCAGATATGTTGATGCTGCTGACCTTCCCTTCTTTCTTTCCATTTTCTTTCCTCATTGTTCTCCTACTTTTAGGGCAGTTCTCCTCAGTCTCCGATTTTAGCTTATCTTCTATTTCACTATTAAATGGTGAAGTTCCTCAGGTCTCTTCTCTTTCCACATTGAACTCTAAGCAAGGAATCTTATCCATTCTCATGATTCCAACTGATCTCTGTAAGTGACCACTTCCAAAGCAGTACCTTTAATTATCATTATTCTGAAAACTACTCCTCTATTTCCAACTGTCCATTTTACAAGCCCCACTGGAATTCCATAACTCATGTCCTAAACATGGAACCTACAAATCTACTTTTCTTTTTATGTCCAATCTGAGGAAATGGTATTATTCTCTACCTAGGTGCTCAGGCAATCTGAGAAATCAGGGTGTCACCATCCTATATGACCACCAAATCCACTCAACCCTCCCACCTGGGTGTTTCTTAAATCCCCTCCTTTACCCATGCTAATAAATTCTGTGAAAGCTTATAACTTTATTTTCTTGGTTAAAAGCTTCAAAAGTGTTCCTCATTTTGTCTTCCCTCCCTGACCTCATCCCAGGTGGCCCAGTCAATAAGCTCAGCCCTACTGGTTGTTTCTCTATTTCCTAGAACAAACCGTTTTCCTTGGTTTCAGGTCTTTGTATAAGTTATCCTGTTCTTAGGAACTCTCTCTTTCCTGCCTGTCACCAATACACTGGCCCTAGCTTGAATATCAAGTTACTTAGGTTACACATTCCCAGAGTATCCTTTATTTGCCACTTCTCCCTTTTGAAACTTTCCTCACATTTCTAAGTATTATTTTTCAGTGCTTGTCTTCCAATTAAAATGGAATGCTTACACATTCCAAGATTACAGAGCAGTATTTCCAGCCCACCTTATGTCTGGTTCATGTAAGTTCAATGAGTGAAAGTTGACAGGGGATTCTTTAATTGTGGTATCACTGTACATGTGAAATGAGAAAAAAAGGCAAATAGAATACTGTGTGAATTCTAAGGATAGGGAGAGCAGGCAGATATATCATGGAGAGAATGAAGTAACATGAAATGCAATGGCATTCAACATTAATCAGAACAGATTACAAGGCCAAAAAGAAAGAGGAAAAATAATTAACTTACCAAAACATTGCAGTGAGATGGATCTGTAACTATTATCGTCAATCTAGTTAAAATTTTAATTGGTCTTGATTTTCCCTATAAACAAAATATGCTATCAATAAAAGCACAAAGCTTAACCGATTTTCCCTTTTATCAAGGGAAAGTACTCATTAAAAAGTATTAGCGGGCCGGGGATTTAGCTCAGTGGTTCTGGCGCCTGCCTCGAAAGCACAAGGTCCTGAGTTCGATACCCAGTACCAAAAAAAAAAAAAGGGGATTAGCTATAAGAGACAATGAAGATAGAGCCTAGCTCCCATTCAAGGACTTATAATACAGTCAAAGAAAATATGATGCATATATTAAACTACATAATGAGATAATTTAGAAATTGTAAGATTTCAAGAAGGAAGACAATCAAAGACGTACCAACTTGATAGTAAGAGAATGTTTCATTAAGAGCTGACACTTGATGGAAAAGTAAGACTGGTAGGCAGAAGAAAGTGCAGTTCAGGTTAGAGAATAGCATACTAATAGGTTATGTTTTAAATGAACAAAGAGATACTATGTTTCTTTAAAAAACACCTACCTGAACAATTGGCAAAGTTGTGAAGAGTTCAGAAACCACTACTGGTTTTTCAATTTCCTACAACAAGTAATAAATAGTCACCCTAGACTATATACATTAAAGGCATGAAGCATAATGAAAAACTTAACAGATTAAGTTCTATTACTTTTTTAAAAGAAAGCAAGCAAATTTTTAAGATTGAAAAAGACTAAATCTTCTCTAAAAAGGAAAAAAAAAGGAAGGAAATTAAAGAGCAGAGAAGTAACTAAGAGTATCAGTGGATAAAAGGGATAAAAACTAATTTTTAGACAGAAATAACCTATAAGGTACAGCTGTTAGCCTAGAAATAAACATATATATTTATTAGTATGCTTAAGAGAGGTGTCAATGAGTTCATGACAACAAAATAAACACAACATATTGTGATTACAGTTCAATCAATGCATTTTTAAACAATATTGAAAGTGATTTAATTAATATTAAATCAGCTTGAAGAATCCTTACACCATGCCACAGTACTTCCAAAAATGTCATTTGTGCAAATATATAGCAGCTCAATTGTTAACATATAACAGTGTACAAATAGAGTGCATTTAAGAAATACATTCATCTGTACTTTTCCTAGTCACAATATAAACATAACCACAAATACTTAATATTTTTATGAACTTATTAACTTCAGAAATCTAACTTTACCTGTTTCTTTTCCTTAAAGTCAACAACATGATTGATAGCAACAACTGAATAGCCAACTGAAAAGAAAAACGGAATATTCTTATTAAATATTCTTCTTGTACACACAAGCCTATGTTGATTCTAGATATCAAGATGAGGAGGCAGTGTAGCACAACAGTTATGGGTGGGAACTCTGCCTTGCTTTCAAATAGAACTACACCATTTACAAGTTACTTATTTTTAAGTTTCATGCTCTTCATCTGTCAAATGGTAATAATAAAAGCACTTAGTCCGTATGCTTACCATAAGAATTAAATAAAATAATATATGTAAGGTATTTTAGAGCAGTGCTAGCCACAGCCTGGGCTTTGTTTTAACCCACCATTTCTTGTTAGTATGACACTAAAAACTTGTGCTTCTGCTTTCCAATCTACCCTGTATTTTGCAGATTTTTCAGTTTATTCATAAGCATTAATGAAGTAACTGTCACATATCAGTGCTTACTCTAACTGTAAAAAAACCCAACACATAATACATTGTCCCTTTCTAAAGAAGCTTATAATGTATTAAATAAGGAGATAGCATCAGGAAAAGATTCACTGAGAAATTAATATTTGCAATGAGTCACATCCAGGAAAATTCATTTTATAGGAACTGTTACAGAATGTTAGCAACAAAAAGTCCAGGTCATCAGGCTTACCCTCCTCTTTTTAATGATGAGGCAAGTATGTACCAGAGAGATAATGCTAATTAATGGCTGCAATGGAAAGAAATAGTTATTTCCCTATGGATAGAGCTGGTCCTCCATCTATGGATTCAGCCAACCACAGATAGAAAATATTTGGAGGGAGAGAAAGGGACAGTGTGTAGGTACTGAAAATGTACAGAAGTTTTTCCCTTGTCATTATTCTCTAGGCAATATAAATGTAACAACTATTCACATTTCATTTACATTATACTGTATTAGGTATTATAAGCAATCTACAGGTAATTTAAAGTAGTTCAGAAGGATTTTCTTTATATGAAAATAATACCCAGTTTACATGGGATTTGCATAACCATTGATTTTGATGGGGAGGGACACTGTCCTGAATCCCCCACGGATACTGAGGGAAGTCTACCGCATAACGAGAACAAGAACTGGTAATTCACTTTGTACGCAGAGGTTCTTTCTAGCAGTTCTGAAAAATATCGATAATCACCTTCCACAATGAGCTGAAAACTGTCTGAGGAACCCATGTTACCGCACTAATATCTTTACTCTTTAACTTCTCAATCCCCTCACTTCATAGTGTAAGGAAGCCACAAGCTGCCTAACTCTAATAATCAAAACTGGGCATCTCTCGGGGCATCATCTGTGTTTGATTCAAATATGAGTAACATTCTAACACTCTGACCATGTGTCCACTCCCTCCTGTCTGGTATGACCTATGCCCCCACCTACCACCCCTCTAAACATTATTGTTCACAACACTTTACAGCCCCATGCACTCCCTGCTTGAGTCCCCAGCTTCTTGAATTTGGTCAGACACTGTTGTGAGAGTCGGGAAGGACTGTTACAAGCACTGGCTCAGGTAAACTGTACAGTTGGAATCCAGCCCTGGAATCCAGCTGAGCATACATTAGCTGTGAGGTTCTACACAAATTCCTCGTCCTCGTAGGGCCTCTGCTCCCCTAAGTTTTCATTTAAAATGCAGTAAAAGCAGGTAAAAGACATCCAAAATTGTTGAGCTCTTCACGCTAGGGATCTGGGCAACATTGCAGCTGGCAGGCTACAGGAATTTCCCATAGTCTTGAGCGTGACTCGACGGTTTTGAGGGCAGGAAAAGGTAGGGTATGAGGCCCGCGAAGCTGAGACTCACGGTGAGCCGCGGTTTCCACCATCCCGCGCAGAACCTTCAGATCTGAACCCGCTCTCAAGTCTAAGTCTGCAAACACCGCCATGCTGAAACCCCATGACCGCCCGCGCGCGCTCGTCTGCGCACCCGCCGGGCTGCGCGGGGCAGACTGGGAGTTGTAGTTTATCTTTTGACTATGGCTGTGGCTTCGAGTACCAGCCCAAACTAGTGTGTTCTACCAGCAGCCTATTTCAGTCCTTCCTTTCTTCTAAATGAAGACATTAGGTTCTCAGGAGGGGTGCATATCTTCCATAATCCCGCTATAAAATAATGAAGAAAGTGAAAATTCGAAATGTAACCATAGGGTAACTATATAGACCCTATCTTGAACCAGTTTTCTGAGGGCCTGAAGGTGCTGTTTAAAGAGCCGCAAAGAATCCGTTCTTCATTCCTTTCTTCAAAGTCCGTTCAGTTGTATAAAACGTTTTAAATTTAAGGTGTGGGTGTGGCCGACTCTAAGATCACAACAGAGGGCTGTCTGAGAAAGGCGTCTTTTTGCACAATCAGAACAGGCCTTGTGGAAGCATGCTGTCTCTGTTACAGCCGACGTCTTCAACCACTAGGTGGCAGGGCTCTCTCTAGAATGAACGGTTAGTATCAACACTGATTTAGCCAAAGACAGGTTTGAGAAGGAAGGTGCAAAACTGAAATATGTCTTTTACAATTTTCAATGGGAAATACAAGGTGGCGTAAGGCCAACATATTTGGTGTTTCTACTTTTTTTTAGATTTCTTATAAATGAACTCTTGAAGATTGATAGAACAATTACCGATACCAAAAAATTGTGGAATTACTGGATAGTTTGTTTATGTGAGAGCTTCTCAAACTGTCTGCTACGAAGGTCCAGTCCTCATCCTTCTCTCCCATTAATTCTCAGTGGACTAGCATGTGATCCGTAAGGCACTACCAGTAAGCAGCTCCAGCCTCTTGTGACTCACCAATATAACATCATTTAAACTGTCCTTCAGCTAGATAAGAAGAGTCCACTGATCAGGAACATGTATAAGGCAACAATGCTAACGTGCTGTAAACGTTTCTAAACGAATTTTCAAATTCTGTGTTTACGGATTACAAATATTACATAGGTAGTCTGCTCTCTGTGAACCATACCTTAGGCAGTACTCCTTTATTTGTAGGTTTCAACTGACTTCCTTATTGATTTCTGAAGGGAATTTTAAGAGGGCTCGGTTCCCTGTAGAAGTATGTAGTTCTCTTCTTGATTAACTTTTGTAAACAGGAAATATTTGGCCTTTCTGATACTTACTATTTTCTAATTGAAAACAGAAAAAATTACTTCTGCAAACAAGATCACACAGAACAAACTTTTTTTCATCAGAAAATCTAGTGTTAATATTTGTAGGTGAAGAAACAAGAATCACTACCTATGACAAACTCTAGAGTACTTTAAAATATGGTTGATGCTTAGTGAAAGTGACTAAGGTAACAATTTAATCTGATGCTACCATTGGATTAAAAGTGGGGTTCTTGTTTTAAAAGTCATGGTGCTGTTGCTCTGGACTGCACCTTTTAGAATTCTTTTTCCTCTATACCTTGGGCTTAGGTGAAAAGGAAGAGGAAGGCAAGAAATAAGATGAATACATAAAAATTATCTAGCACTACTCCAAGGTATAGCCAATCTGCTAAGTACTTACATATCTCATTAATTTTAAAAGCATCTGGGCATTAAGTGTTAATTTAAAAAATCAACATCCAGTTTTTACATCTGAGAAATCTAAGGCATTGGTAAGGGTGGTTAAACTACCTATGGATGGAGGCAGTTTGATTCAGTTCTTGTCTAGTGTGCTGTCTTCTGGGCAAAGCAAGTAGAGAATAGAGTTGTGGAGGAGAACTGAGAGACAAAAGAAAAAAGAGAAAAGGAAAAGGAAGGTGGGAACAGGGTAGGAGAAGGAAAGAAAGGAAGGAGGACTGAGAAGAAGGAAGAAGATGGGGTAGGTTAAAAGATTAGGAAAGAGGGGTTAGAAATTGGTCTGGAGGGTAGCTAAAGCTGCAAAGACTTGGAATTTGAAGAAGACCCTAAAAATTTCTGCCTAAAACAGGACGATATGATTACTGTAAACATTTTACATACATTATTTGATTTAATCCTCACAACCAGTCAATGAGAGAGATGTTGTTCCTATTATATCAAAGATGAATCCCAGGATCAGAGAAGGTGGGTCTTGAGTCATTTCTTCTTCCGTGGAGAACTTTAGTGAGCTTCTGCATCCAAAGAAACTTTGGGGCTCCCCTCAACATCTACAAAGACTTCCCTTGGACTGGTCCATATAGATGGTATGTGCTTGGTTAGTCTTTGGTCTTATCTGCCATTCATTTGATTCTTTCTTCTTGGGTGGGCCAAGAAACATTCCACTGGTCCATTTCTTCTTGCAATTTAAGGTTAAGGGGAAGCCAGACAAAAAAGCAATATTAATTACAACAGTATTTGAACAGTATTTCATTGGGACTATTTGGCAAAATATTTTTCTGAGACTGAGGGGAAAGTTTGGACAAATTGGAGAGGAGAAAGGATTGTTCCCTGGAAGAGGTATTCCTTGAATTGAATTTTGATGAATGAATTCAAAAAAGTAATATAGTGGAGAAATCTTGAGTGTATCTTGTCTGTCTAACCTTTCCCAGAGCCTGTGATAAGACATATCAGAGGGCCTACACTTAGGCCTAACCCTGAAACTCTGTTACTCCATAGGATTTCAGGAGTCCAAGGATAATTCCTCCCTCATCTGCTTGCTTTTCCCCAGATATTATAAAAATTTGGTTACTTTCTGTGATGGGATAATGTGCCCTGCTTGCAACATTATGTTTCTTTGTAAAGTGCAGCTAAGATGAAAGTGAAGTATTTCTTATGTTTCCATAAAACTCTGGAAAAATAAAGACAGATGAGAAAGACCTGCATGCTACAAAAAAACCCCAAAACAAAAAAACAAAACCCTAGCATAAGAACATCCTTTGATTATGAAAATAAACAGTATTCCTACCTCTTTAAGATGCAAATTGTGTCTGTGATAAAAACAATAAAACTTAAGAAGCCATTATGAAAGAAATCAAAGAAAGAACTGTGTGACTGACTTGTATATGGAAAAGACACATGATGTTAAATTTAGTGAATGCAAAGAAAAGGACTTGAATTTCAACTGGATTGGTTTCTTAATGTAAGTAAAATAAGCGATTGTATTAGTCATGGTTCTCCAGAGCAAAAGAATCAATAGGAAATGTGGTTTATTTAAGGAATTAGCTGAAGTGATTGTGGAGGCTGACAGATCCTAAGATTTTCAGTCAACAAGCTGGCGATCTAGCAAGATGATGGTTAATGTTCCACTCTAACCCAAAGGCTTTAGAACTAGGATCACTGATGGTGTAGTTTTAGTCCAAAGACAGGTAGGCTCAAGACCCAGGAAAAGTCAACATTTCAGTTCCAGTCTAAAGGAAGGGAAAAATCGATGTCTGGTTCAGCAGCAGTCAGGTAGGAGGTTCTCTCTTACTTGAGGGAGGATCAGCTATTATATTATATCACCTTCAACTGATTGGATGAGACTCACTCAGTTTAGAGAGGGTAATCTCTTTCACTCAGATTACTTATTAAAGTCCTAATCTCATCCAGAAACATGCTCACAGTTGTGATTTAAATAAAGTTTGACCAAATATCTGTCCTCCCAACAGACTAGTCAAGTTGACAAATAAAAAGTAAGCATCACAGGAATGGTGCTGCATGTTAAGTGAAAAAGAAATTTGCTCAAACAACAAAAACTTTTCATTGCAAGGAAGTTAACAAAGAAATTTCTTGAAGGCAAAAGAAAGAACAGGCCTTAAACAGAAATAAGCACTTGCAAATATAATACCTACAAGTTCCATTGTTCAGTATGTTGTAAAATGGCTTAGTGTTACAGGGCAAGTTATATGAAAAAACTAACTTATTTCTGGTATTTTTCATTGCAGCCAATATGAGAACAAATAGCTAAAAGCTATTTGTGTTGCCAAAAATTTTGATATGACTAATGACTGATGGAAATGGTGCTGCAAAAAGGCACAACATTATGAAGTGGCTTATTTTTTGTGTGTAGGGAGAAGAGATTTGAACATTTTAAGTGGACGAGTCAAAATTGGTAACCATGACTACAGATGGGATTCCTGCTGGGGCCAATATTCACATTTCACATCAGATGTATGAAACAGAAGCACAATATGACAAGATTTTGTCAAGACATAAAATTTAAACCAATTTATTGTACCACTGACCAGAAACCACTTTGAATTCTAAATTTAAAAACCATGCAAGTAATAGCTAAGGCATTAACCATGCCCCACACACTTCATGCTCCAAATAGCTATAGAGGATGCTGAGGAAAATTTGAACTGTTGGAAAGAAATTTACTTATAAATGTCCTCAAGGATAAAATCTTTATCTCAGCTTACTAGTGAAGATTGGATCAAATATTTGTTTTTTGTTGATGATATATAACCTCTTTAAATACTCCAAATACTCATCCAAAAAAGCATTTAAACTGATTTGTCCATTTACAGCAAAATTTTACTTGGGAAACTCACGTGTCTAGGAATATCCTAGCTCAGTTTTTGCACTGTAACTGGTTTCCAGATATGAAAATTATGGACTGAATTCATACTGTAACATCAAATTATAGAGCTGAACACTATCGACCCAAACTGACTTGATTTAAACTTTGAAGTTAAGATTAAATTGCTTAATTTGCTTTTTAAATTACTACTTTTAGTGTGAATGAAAATTACAAAGAGAAAATTTGAACTTTGGTGCATAAAAATAATATTGGAAAACTAGAATTTTACAAATAGCTTGCTTGTAATTAGCCTAAATTGGGGGTTAGAAAACTATGGCCTATGGCCAAATCCTATCTTCCATCTGTTTTTCTATGCCCTTCAGGCCAAGAATCATTCTTACATTTTCAAATGGTTGAAAAAAAGGTTTTAATGTGTTGTTTAACAAATTATACCAATCATGAACTTATTCATTCTCATGGCCTTAACCATTATCAATTCAATGAATTTTTGTCAGCTTACATACAGAAGGAGCAGCCATGCATTACTAATAGAAGCTGACCATCCTG